AAGTCATCAGTGAGACTAGGTCTTAAGCAGCACAGATAGTGGAGTTGTAGGCAGGAGGTGATCTTCTGCCTCGTTGCTTCATTGCTGCTTTGTAAAGGGCATTTGTTCAATGTGAAAGGTTTCCAGCTTGATGGCATTCATGCCATAGGAGTAAAATTCAGCTGGAGTCATTGGGTTTTGTAGCCGATGTTTATTATTTGTGGCAGGTTCCAACACTACTGCAGTCTTTTTCAAGCCTAGCCCTTAAAAAACATAGCTGCCACCTGCTTTAGCCCAGACACTGGGCCTGTAATTATGGCAGAGGCCGATACTGAATGACCGTGTGTATTCATAGGAGTAAGGCCCCATTCTCAGCTGTGGGTGACCTGCGGATAGGGTGGGGAAACTTCCTAACTAGCCTTGGCTTTTTTTTTTTTTTTTGCGGTACGCGGGCCTCTCACTGTTGTGGCCTCTCCCGTTGCGGAACACAGGCTCCGGACGCGCAGGCTCAGCAGCCGTGGCTCACGGGCCCAGCCGCTCCGCGGCGTGCGGGATCTTCCCGGACCGGGGCACGAACCCATGTCCCCTGCATCGGCAGGCGGACTCTCAACCACTGCGCCACCAGGGAAGCCCAGCCTTGGCTTTTTGTACCAGCACTTGATCCTGAAAGCAGCCTCAGCACTTGGGGAACATCCCCCTTTGCACTCACGACACCCTGCCTCACACCTGACACTTCAGCTGTTCATTCACCTTGATTCCTGCCCCCTCCATCCCACTCCATCCTGATTCGTGCTTCCTCATCCTTCAAGGCTGGTGAATCGGCTCCTCTTCGAAGCTTTCCCCCAACACCACCCCAGCTGCCAGGCTGCTCCGGTGTCCCTGCTCTGTTTCTGCATGATGACCCCTGTGCCCCTCTACTGTGCTTAGCACACTGAGCTGACGTGCTCCGGCTACCAGAGCTTCCTGAGAGCAGGCCTGGGCTCTCGTTCATTTTATGATACTTGGCCCCCACCCAGGGCCTGGCATACTGTGTGCTCAGTAAACGTGTATTCCTCCTTGTTGAGGCCCTTAAAGCAAGCATAAAAGGTCTTTGAGGGGACTTCCCTGGTGATGCAGTGGTTAGGTCACGGGTTCGAGTCCTGGTCCGGGAAGATCCCTCATGCCGCGGAGCAACTAGGCCTGTGCGCCACAACTACTGAGCCTGCGCTCTAGAGCCCATGCCCGGCAACAAGAGAAGCCACCATAATGAGGAGACCACGTGCAGCCAAAAATAAATAAATAGAGTAGTATTTAAAAAAAAAAAAAGTCTTTGAAAGACTCAGTAGACTCTGTGAAGCCTGTGTACCAGAACTCAGACCCTCTTCTCTCAGTGGAGCCCTGGGACCCAAACCAGAGCCTGCTGAGTCTCATTTTGGATGTGATTCCAACAAGCTTGACGGCCTGGTTATATCAGGCATCAGAATGGCTATTAAGGGAGAGGGTGGTTATTAGGGGCCCTGAATAATGGGCAGCCAGGGATGTGAAGACCCCTCTTTCTGTAGCTGCTTTCCTAATCCCACCTCCCACTGCCTAAGTACCTGCTCTAAGACAGTCTCAAAATTGCACTTTCCCAGTCTCTCATCTTTCAGATGAAAATTAGGGAAATATGGAGGAAGCCATATGTGACTTTACTTTGTTTCTAATTATAATAATAATGCACACTCATCATAGAAACCTTCAGAGGGAATTTCCTGGCGGTCCAATGGTTAGGACTCCATGCTTTCACTGCCGAGGGCCCGGGTTCAGTCTCTGGTCGGGGAACTAAGATCCTATAAGCTGCACCGTGTGGCCAAAAAAAATTTTTGTAATAAAAAAAATTTTTTTTATAAGAAACCTTCAGAGATACTGAAAAGTATAAAGAAGAGATAAATGACATACAAGATCTCACAACTGAAAGCTGACTTGTCATACATAGGTATTTTTCTGTCTTTTCTGTGCATATCTGCATCTTTGGCTATAACTGAAATAATTCTGCACATTCATGGGTATGATCTTTTTCTTTTCTAACTGAAAGCATCTTCAACATTACAGCCACCACCAGCAGCCGCTACTGTTTATTGCGCACTTTCTAGAAGCCCCACCTGAGGACATGTTTAATGAAAGTTCATTGCTGAGGATGGCTTCTCACTCACCCCCACTATGAGTGAATCTTTGTTAAAAGCTGGATATTTCTGTCATTTATCTCCACCTCTACAAAAGAAATCGTGGAGAAATTGCTACCAAATTTGAACTGCCTTGGCAGCAGGCATTTTAAAATAGAGTGAACAGAATTGTATGTAAACAGAAGGTCTCTTCACAGCAAACACATTTTGCTAGCTGATAAACATGCTTTTAGTTTTCTACCTTGTGACATTATTGTAGGTCTTTGGTAAGATGGACTATTACTTTTCATTAAAGTGTCCTTGTATCTCCTGGCTCGTTCTCCCTTCCTGCTTGCTTAAAGAGTTGCGTGTAGCCCGAGGGCTGGGAGCTGTACCCTCTGTTCTAGGTGGTGCCAGACAGGAAGTTAGAAATGAGACTCTGGGTGAAAAAAAACGCATATTTTCGCAGTTCTAAAGCTTATGACCTCTTGCTGTGCGTGCCAGGTGTGCGTGCCTCCCAGGACCCCGTGCATTATCTGAGAAATTTGCCGCCAGGGCAGGTGGTGGGGCCGAGAGAGAGAAGCATGACTGAGGAGGCAAGTCAGTATGTCCTTCCCCAGATCTGGAATTTAGCCCAGGGTCTGGCTTTTCAGACTTGAGATTATGAGAATTATTTTAGGGGGGAACTAGGAATGGATGCAATTTCCCTTGGAATGCCCTCATCTTGATGCCTACTGTCTTAGACGTTCTTGCTAACCCCCGCTGATTTCCAGCAGCCTAAGGAGTAGCCAATTACCTACTGACCCAGTTCTAGCAACCAGGTATTTCAAGCTGTTGGAATTCATGTGACTGCCAGTCACAGCCATGCAAAGGTGAACAGGCCAGATGACAAAAATGTATCAGATGGACCTTCTTGCCGAGGGATGGTTTGAGGCGGCTTTACCACCTGGGGATTCATCCAGGCCCCTGAGGCCCCTCCAAATGAACACAGCGTCGGCATAATTCTCATGCGGATGCGGCTCTTAGACCCGTCTCTATCACGTGCTTACCCTCTGCCCCGCCCACTGCTAACCTGCTCCTTCCACCCGAGCCCTCCCCGTACAGAAAATAGGGAACCCCCTTGCTCATCCAAGCTCGTCCCACCCAACTCGGCCTCTCCCCCTGGTCAGTCACACTCACATGAAGGCCATTAGCTTAGTCAGACGGCTTGATGTGTTTAGTGTTCTGTTGGCTTATATTGGTGAACCTGAGGAGTTGTTTTATTGATGTTTGGTTTTGGGTTTTGTGTGCGTGAGTCTTGCCATTCCATCTTCACTCTTAAATGCTTGCTTCTCATTAGCAGAAAGAGACGTTTCATAGACCCAGAGGATTTTTTTTTTTCCTTCTAATTAAGGTTTGTCTTAAAATTGGGAAAAGGAGGTCATAAGTTGTAGTGTCTTCTGATTGGGAAGGGCCTGATTAAACCAATGATGGATCAGCAGATGAACAACAGCATACACAATCTCTGTCCGCCATTCAGCTGTGAATGCATGGCAATGCCAAGCAGAGCTGGCAGCACCTGAAACCACAGATAAGGATGGCTTCAGTGTGCGTATACACATCCTTTGTGAATTGTTAAGATACCAGTTTCCTTACAAAATGACCTCCCACCCTCCCACCCCCCAAAAGGATGACCACTGGCCCTGATTGCACTCATTCGGAAGGTCTCAGCTCCCACATCACTTGCTCAGAGAGACCTCCCCTGACCCCCCAAGCGGATGACACAATATCATTTCTTCCTCCACTTTTCCTTCACAGCATTTACCAGAATTTGTAAATTTGCCTGTTCATGTGACTTTGTGGCTTTTTTTTAAAGGAATGTGTATCTCCCACACTAGACTCTCTATGGATAGAGACTGTGTCTGTTTTGTGCCTTTTTTTTACTCTCTGTTGGGTCCCCATCACCTAATTCAGCACTGGCTAACTTGGGACTCCATAAATGCTAATGAGAGGGAATGAGGAAGTCCATTGATCTCAGAGGTTCCTGAAGCAAAGCATTTGATGCTGTCCATCTTGGAGAATCACTTTTTAATGGAGACTTGTACACTTCTTCCATTAAGCAGTGTTACTTTCCATAGCATTTTATTCATATCACTTGCACAGTACTTAGTACATTGACCGCAACAGTGACTTCTAAGAGCCCATTTCACCTGCTGGGTGAGAGTTCCTTCCAGATGGAGACAGCATCTCACTTGACTTTAAGTTGCCTTTTCTGATTCAGGAACCTTCTGAGGGGCCAAATGGAATTTCTAACATTGAGGCAACTCTGAGGCTGTCATTAGACTGTTGTCTGGCTGATTTGTCAAAAATGTTTTCCTTTCTCTGTGATTATTCTCCGCCCAGGTGTGAGGACCTATCACATGTCCCTTACTTGCTGTGATTAACCCTACATGTTCCAGACAAAAAGGCATGCGCTCTTTGATTTATGCTTCTCTCTTCCAGTTTATAAAACTCAATGATTCTGGTAGAGATAGCATCATCATCCTCACCTTATTAATGTTGAACATCCAAAAAAAGTTAAATTCAAGGTTACATAGTGTTTAAAGTGCAGAGCTAAAACTAGAACCAAAGCCTGCTCTACTTTTTATTTAATGCAGAAATTCAGGGTTGTGTGGAATTACTTAAAGGAGATCCAGGTGTTACTAGCACCACCTAGCCCCCATCCCCACCATCCCAAGGATTTAATCCACCAGACCCTCCTGCTTTGCCCTGACCCGCTGTCAGGATGTTCCACTGAGAACCTCCATTTAACAACCTCTTCTCCCAACGCCGGTGCCCAAGGTCATGTGATGCTGACTGAATTCTAGGCTAATGGCGACACCACATTGGATCCTCTTTTGTTTCTTTTGTGTTTGTACCCAGGATCGTCTGTTTTTTGTGATGGAGTTTGTGAACGGGGGCGACTTGATGTTTCATATTCAGAAGTCACGTCGTTTTGATGAGGCACGAGCTCGTTTCTATGCTGCAGAAATCATTTCGGCGCTTATGTTCCTACACGA